CCCAGGCCGCGGTGCGGTTCCCTGCGGGGGTGGCGGTGAGGCGCAAGAGAGACCGTCACTGGAAACCGGGGCTTTGTAGCTGCTGGGCGGTGTATCGGTGCTGGCGTTAGATCGGCTTACTGGTAAAACATTGCGTAGGGACAAAAATCGGGCAAAGGTAAGATTTATTAAAATGTGCCATTTTCTCCTTCTTGGTACTGGAAGGAAAGAAGGACGAGCCTGTGCTGAGCAGGGTTCAGCTTGGCGGCGGGCTGCAGCTTTTCCGTACCTTTCCGGTCCGCCGGTTATGCTTGGTTCGGGGCAGGTTTGCGGGCGGGGCCGGGAAATGACTCGGGTCACTGTGCGAGCTCGTCGCTTTCGTGGTGTGTGAAAGCTTTCACCTTAGTCCCGAGGGACATGGAAGCCCTGCACGTGGGTTTTCTTTTTTTAGGAACTTGCCTCTTATCTTGCTGAGTGTGTGATAGAAAAAATGTGACTTCCTTCAGTCTGGTTATAGTCCACGGTGAATAGCTTAATCGGAGGAGAAGAATAATAGTAGTGAATTTTACTGTGAGTAAAGGAAAGTATGTGGCATATAGAGAACATACGTGGGGTGACTGGCTCCATTCTTAAAAGCTCAGAGGAGATGAACTGATTTGACATCGTTTTAGGATTTATTCTGTGGCAAAAAAAGAGAAAAAAAAAACCACAAAAAACAAAACCAGGCAACTAGTCTGTCTAATTTTATAAGTCAGAGATAATAGCCTCTGTACAGAGCATTGAACATTAGAGCTCTCCCTTGTGAATTAAAGAATGGCAATGTGGCATAGCTCTTCCTACCAGTAGTGATGCAGAGAGAAGCAAAGAGAAGATTTTCAGATTTTTTTTCCAAATCTTTATTAAAAAAAACTATTGAATTGCAGTCTGTCGTGTTAAATGCTTTGATCTTCGCAAACCTCTAATCCTAAACCAGATACGTTGAGGGGGCAAGGGGCTGGATGACTTATGAAAGAAGCATGTAGTATGGCTGGCGCAGGACTTCATACCTGAAAAGTCCTGTCATCTGTGACTGTAAGATAAGACTGTCATTCTGGTCCATATGGTAGCAGGGTCTACCTGTTGTGAATTTGTGATTTTCTTGCAGGGGATAATACTTTATAGTTACATAGATGCCGTCTTTTAGAAACATTCTTCCTGAGGTTGTTTTTGCTGGTATGGCTCATAATACCTAAACTTACTTACAGTGAAAGGGATGAACAGGAATTGCTTTTTTCTATTTTCACTTTTATTTGAGGTATTTTACTTAGTTTTTCTTATTTGCATGAGTATTTCACATCACGGGGGGGGCGTGACGAGACACATAGGGTGGAAATCATTAAGTAAACTAGAACTCTGAGGAAGTGTGATACTTGATGTTATTTTTTATTCCTTTTTCGAATGGCTTAGATTTCTAGTTAATATCTGTTTTAAAAATTAAACAGTTTTACAAGCATCCTATATGTAATTTTTTAAATCTTTTCTCTTTTTCATTAAAGGTGGAGATAAACTACGGTAACTAAAGTAAGATAGCTCTGGACACTAATTTTGTTGTTAAATTAATTTCAAACCTGTTAATTGCTTTACTGGAAGTGAATTCTTCAAGTTTACCAATATGGCTCTGACTGTTACGTTCCTGAACAGTGCTTACTTACATGGTAGATGCTGCAGGCACAACGTTTTGCACCCCTTATTTGGACCTCTCCTCAGCGATTCCATGTCAAAATTGTATAGCAGCTACAGGAGGCCAGGGTCACAGCCTGAGAAAAAAACATCTTGGCAAAATATTGATTTCAGTTTTAAGAAGGGCATTGAAGTTTTAAAGACTCAGCTAAGCATGCTGAAGAAGGAGACCGAAGATTACTTAATAGGACCCGGAGGCCATCCATTCAGTCAGTACCTGTTGGAACAGACAAGGGTATTGTGGGAGTTTCGGAGCCAAGAAGATTTAAATAAATGGGTTATTTCCTCCGATGTAGAGATTGGAGGGAAAAGTGAAGTTCACCTCAAATTGGGTAGGAATAACCAGGCTGCTCTGCTGTATGGAACCCTCAATACGGAAGTACCTCGTGATGGGGAGACAAAATACAGCGGATATTGTAGTATGAGAGCTAAACCACCAGTGGTAAGTACAGCTTCATGTTTGCATAGCTTCTGTTACTTAATCGGAGAGCATTTTTATGTAATCCCAGTGACAAGAAGCGGACTGTTGTTTACTGTGATTGAAGCTGATCACTTCCAGGAGTATTAGATATTCCTTCAGGGATGTAATTGCTGCTCTATCCTCTGACCTGGAAGGAACTTAAACTTCTTCTTAGATTTTGTTTTCCTTTCTTAGAAAAGGAATAATATATGTTTGATCATTTACTTATGTACAATAGGGCATCCACTCGTTAAGACAGCCCTATTTGCAGCCTCCCTGCAAATGAAGGATCTGTAATGAACCTTTATATCCAAAATTGGTATGATTAAAATAGATATCTCTCTAAATTTGAAGTTAATTGAATGTGTTATAAGGACAAATTTTCTGGGCTTTAACTTGGCCTATTCATCAAACTTGGTTTAGGTGAATGAGCTCATCTTTTTTTCTCACAGGAACAGAAAATAATGCTTTGAAATGTACTGTTTAAAGGTCTGACTCCTACTGTACATCAGAAAAAGCGAGACACAAATCTTTGATAGCTCAGAATTGAGCAAACCAGAACCAGAAATGGATGTGCTTGTTATTGATACTGCTTGTTTCATTCCTTGTTTTTAAGCACCTTTAAAAGCAAAGGAACATTTTGACTCAGTGTATAAAATGCTTAACTTTTTAGTCCGTTCTATTGTTTGTGACTCGGCACAAGTACACGGGTAAAATCTTTTCTGGGCCAGAAACTTGGAGAGCGGAAAATATGAGTGAGCAAAATCAATGGGCAAATGAGAGGCAGATGAACACTGATTAAAATGGTGACACTGGGTCAGGGAAATGGAACAGCAAGTTAGCAAGTTGAATCTCACCTGAGTTAAATTCCCAGGACTGCTACTGGCTTGTGCAAATGTGACTCAAACTTTCACCTCCTAATTCTGAAGTAGTGGAGTGTATCAGTCCATCTTTATAATGCAGTTTGAAATCAGAGGGTGAAAATATAAATGCAAGGGCTCTTCTTTATTTAAGTAATAAGGCTCAAAACTGGCAAAACCATAAAATCAAGTAGCCACAGCCTTGGTATTAATGTATTGATGATCTACTCATCCTATTACCTATAAGATGAGTTGGTAGAAGGACAGTTGATAGGTAACTGTAGTAGTGCTGTAAAATAAAGGGGAAACCTCTGAATTTTTGGTGCTAGTTTTGACTTGATTTAAGCAATTCTGGCCAAAAATAGCTCTGACCCCCACCCCTCATCACTCCAAGTGACCTCAGTGTAATTCTCTGAAGACTCCTGGATCTGCCTATTTGCAAATCACAACACTGGGACTTTTAAGATCTTTGGAAAAAAAATGCGGTTGAGAATTAGACATGCTTGCAATCCATATTGTTATGCACAGTTAATGACAAAAAGTGTTGAAAACATTAAATGCTTCCAGTGCTTATGTCAGTCTTCAATAGAAAGGGAAGTTATCACAGGGGATAAATTATCCCACTTCAGTTTCTTATAATCGCCTCTGAATAATCTAGTACTGACCACAGAATATTAAACTTAATGAACTACATTAAACTTAAGGAACTACGTAACTACTGATCTATCACCATAGCGTTGGTGTACTTGCCTGGTAGGGGATTTGGTCCTAGGAAGGATTTCTGATTTCTGATAGTTACAAGATTGTGGTTTATAATTAAAACATGAGTCCTCAGAGTGGTGATACTGCAACTTGTGGGCTCTAATACAGTGCTGAAGGAAATTCAGTGAGATCAGCAGGTAGTATGATGAAAGAGTAACCCAGTTTTCACTATGTCGCAGTAGATATTGTTTGACGTAATAATGCGGGCAGTGATGAAAGCAATAGTGCTCTGTTCTTCATAATGGAAGTTTCCCTTTATGAAGGAGGAATAATTCTATTTATTAATAATTTGTAGGGATCTTTTGCTAGGAAGAAGTATTATGACTGGTCAAACTTCAACAGTCTGTATTTACGTGTCCGTGGCGATGGCAGACCTTGGATGGTAAACATTTATACAGACCCTTACTTCTCTCATCAAAAGGATGACCTCTACAACTACTTCATGTTCACCCGAGGAGGCCCATACTGGGAGGAAATAAAGGTGAACTAACGCGTCTTTCAAGCTAACGAGACTGTCTTGGGGTCCTGGCCGTAGCTCTGTGGAAGGGGAATTCTTTCAACAGTCACAGTTCGTTGCTATTGCTGTCCATTCCACTATGTTTCTGTTACGTATCCTCATACAACAGAACAGGCACGTGCGTTTGGCTTGGGAGCTCCCAAAATTGTAAATCACTGGATTGTGGGAGGGCACACTGTCAATTGTGTTAAAGATTTGATCCACCATACGTTCACCTAAACGTCTGCTGTTAGCTATTACTGGAGTAAGAGAATAGATAGAGCAATTGAAGCTTAGCAGGTGTTGCCGGAATATTCTCTGTGATAACCATTTTATCTGTAATACAAATGGACGTAGGTTGGTGTAGGATTTGTACCCTGCAACAGGATTTGCTTAACCCGCTGACTCGCTGGAGTCAGTCAGAGACTCAAAGGTGTGGTTTGTCACTTATGGCTTTTGAATCTGTGACACAAAATAATATTTGTAAGAAGTGGGAGTTTCGGCTCTTTTCTGGTGAAACTTGGGGAACTTTTGTAATTTGCTGATGACAACGTTAAGGAGGTTCACACATCCTTATGAACTGGCGTTCAGTGCTTCGTAATGCCGTTGTCCCGTCATATGAGAACAGCCCACTGTTTCACAGATGAGGAGTCAGGAGGATGAAAGTCAGTGTGGCATTGCTGGCTTGCACGTTTTCCTCTCACCCACGCCAGCCAGCGCGCCTGTTTCCTATCTTTTATCACAGCCCCTCCTCTTTCTTGCTCTCACTGCATTCAAAGTGATTTTTACATTATTCTGAACTGCTTTGCTAGAGTACTGATGTCTCAGTATGAAGTTTGAACTATGAAGTACACAGCTTGGGTACAGACGAGCTGTCGATATACATGCATGCTAGATTTTTCAATAATTTCCATTTTATGCTGGCATGTTAAGAGATGAAGGAGATATTCTAGATGTAAACAGTCACCTTTTGTGCTGCAGCCTCTCGTTGTGTCCTAACAGGGTAACAATCCTGCACAACAGCTACAAATGGCCACCACAGAACAGCGTGGGGCTGGAGCTGGCTGCGAGCGGTTAATGAAAGGGTTAATGTGGCCGGTTTCTCTGTGCCGGTTCTATGTACCCAACTAGCGCTGGTACCAGAGGTAGCAGAGTATTATTTCATTTACTAAGGCAGGCTTTTTATTTCTTAAGTTTTCATTCTACGTACTGGTGACACTAAAGCCTGGTTTGGTTTGGTTTTGTTTCTGTCAGATTCCGTTCTCCAAATTCTTTCTCTCCAGTCGGGGAAGAGTTCAGGACGACCAGCATCCTATCTGGTTAGACAAGGCAAGTTTTCTATAGGCTTTATCTGTCTGAAATGTCCTTTAAGATTATATTGTCATGATATAGATAGTTTACAAATCCTTTAATGTTTGTGAATTTGGAATTGAAGGGCCTCTTCTGGTTATAAGGTACTTATTCTTGTGTGCTTGCCTTTGCATTTAAATTATCCTACTTTGTGACAGCAGTGTCAGTTTACTTCAGAGTAGCTCCAAAAATATTTTTAAGAGATCTAGATAACCAAGAAACAACTCAACTTACTTGGCTTTTCAAAAGAAAAAAAAAAAATTTTTTTTTTCTTTTGAGGAATGATCAAAGTGACTAAAATCTAAAGTGCCAGTTGGCACAGTACGGCCAAAAATAATGAAAGTAAGTATCATAAACTTCCTTCCTGACAGAAGACTGTAAGGGATATCATATTGTGAGATTTTATTTGAGGATACGCTGTATCAGTGACCTTGATGGTGAGCAGTAAACTGATGCATTTATAGGCTCTTTTTTAGTTTTTTTCAGGCTTTCTAGTTGTTGTGGTTTAACCCGGCAGGCAGCTAAACACCACACAGCCGTTTGCTCACTTCCCCCCCCCGCAGTGGGAAGGGGGAGAGAATCAGAAAAAAAAAAAAAAAAGTAAAATTCATGGGTTGAGATAAAGACAGTTTAATAGGAAAGGAAGGGAAAATAATAATAATAAAAGAATATACAAAATAAGTGATGCACAATACAATTGCTCACCACCTGCCAACCGATGCC